GTAGTCAATTATTGTGGACTGGAGACATCGACTGTATTGATCGTTTAAATGGAAACACCTGGAGTCACTTTTATGTAATCTATACCGCTCTGAGTAAATGTATTCATTTCAGTATGTCTTGTTGAGCACTGTAGACATGAGCTTATTATTGACACATCACAAAAGAACAGATCACACTCTAAAATTGATTGCGAAATCCATATATACCAGAAATCGATAGAAGTCTTTCTTGCATAACACAGGGACACTTTCGTCGTAAAATACACAATAGGCATCTCTTTGTTCCCGCCATTTAACCTGCGTCTTACTACGTCTCTCTCTCTCTCTCTCTCTCTCTCTCTCTCTCTCTCTCTCTCTCTCTCTCTCTCTCTCTCTCTCTCTCTCTCTGCGCCATAATCGGTAAAAAAAAAAATCACTCTGCTATCTCGCAATTTCCTAACAAAATTGGGATATTATCCCTTCGCCAACAAGCTCTGAGGACAGGTCTGTATGTTAAGAGACATACATCGCTTTCAACCAATCAAGCAGCGCTATTTAGCTCATTTAAGGTGATTGACTCAGTTTTTATCCGTTTAGACCTTTGTCTTTGTTGGCGAGGAAAATCCTTCTAGCGTGCTTTTTTGTTTTAAAACTAAATATTGATTACCAACAACATGTTTAATGTATTTCCGCGATTTTCCAGGATTCATTTTGAAAATTATATTATTGCTGAAAGATAAGATGTGAGTAAATCACAGTTTTCCCCTATCGGAACTGGGCGTCAAATATGTTATAGCGCGTATGCTGAAATTATCAATTACTCAAGCTTTTTTGGACCATATCCGTTGTGAAATCGTTATTTTTGGAGGTGCTTGGATTGGAATGTTGTCAACCTCTTCATTTTTGGAAGCAAATAAATTTTGCATATAATGAGAAATCCCATAATGCCAAGATAGAAATGGTCGGTTTTGAGAAATCGTTGGACGTTTGACTGCCTCAGTCCAAATGAGTGCTTGAACACGTTTCTCTGAGATTATTGTTTTAATAAGGTAGCTTTGAAACTGCATATAGATGTTTAGCAATACGTAAATGTTGCTTTATTTGAAATCATGAAGAAATTTATAATTTTTTTGTTTGATGCTGAAACAATAAGGTGTTAACTACATCAAGAACACAAATTATAAACTTTTCCCAAAGCGTACATTTATATTATCGAAAATATTTCAACCTTCTTAATTCTTGTCATATGTTACTCTTTGTTATTGACATTCAGGTTCACCTTGACTTTAAGAAGTATTTTCATGATGGCATGGGCATCTTGGTTTCATTTGGTATTACAGGGACCATATTACCAGGCTTGGGGTGGAAGTGGGTGGGTTTGAGCATAAAAGGGGCATGTGAAGTATACACTTTAAGTCATTGGAAACAAATTTGCTGGGTATTTTCCCCCCAAAACCGTCACTACTATAATCACTTTGGCGTTGTGTTCCAAACATTGTAACTGCTATAATCAATTTGCATTTGTGTTTCTAAAACGTCACTGCTGTAATTAATATTTATGTACATAATCGTGTTTGTTAAGGAAAATGAGGACAAAACAAGACGAATTCAATTTTTCATGCACGTGACGCAATTAGTTTAATTATTGATTTAGCATGCTACCTGAGAAAATATATAGTCTACTTATCTATGTTTCTAATATATCTCTATATAAATAGGTTCATGTTTGTATTTTCTTTGAACTGATAAAACGGAAAAGGTCACACGCTGAGAACTGAATCTGGTTGCTTGCCAATATTTGCTTGCAGATCAAAACATCATGTACTCCGTACCAGTAGAACATTCATTGCCGGTACACTCGTACCGGAAACAATGGGGTATGTAGCTGGTATAGTAACGGTAAGAGTTAAAATACACCACTGTTGCAGACTGGCATATTGTATTTGCATGTAAATAATACTATTGGAAAAAAAAACCTTCACTAGCGAAGAAATATAGAGAGCTGAGGAATGAATCAGCATTAATTTGTTTCAAGAGCCAGTGAAATATCATGCAACGTTCCATTTCCCTCAATCCTTCCTTCCCTCCCTACCCCCTCTCTCTCTCTCTCTCTCTCTCTCTCTCTCTCTCTCTCTCTCTCTCTCTCTCTCTCTCTCTCTCTCTCTCTCTCTCACGATGGATGGATGGATGGATGGATGGATGGATGGATGGATGGATGGATGGATGGATGGATGGATGGATGGATGGATGGATTCAAATCGACCCAACGATGACATATGAAAGTTACTGAAGGTTTCTCTTGAAAATATATATATTTTTTTTTAACGGAAAAAAATCTCCAAAACAAAATTGCATCAGTCTGGATGAAATTTGCTCCACGGTATGCAGAAATAGGTGTATGGTGTACAAGAGCTGTGGAAAGAAATACTTGCTAAGGCTCAATAGCTATCATTTTTATGTTAGATTTGTAATATTTCCTTCATTCAGAAGAATAACTCAAGTAGTTTCTTTCTAAGATCAACAAATAACCACCACTCATCATTTAAAATTAAAATTACACCTCTTTTTGTTTAAAACATTATTCTAAAATCATTTATTGTTTCATATGTGACAACATTGCAAAGACAACCTTGCAAAGAGATAATTTATAAAATAACGTATATTTAAAAAAAAACCCTGACACTCTTCAATTTTACATAAAAATAGTTTTTGTTTACAGTATACCGTGTTACGTCCTAGATATATAAACTATGTACCAAGACAAGGTAAAACCCAAGATGCATTAAATTCTTCAAATTATAACTTTATCTCAAAAATAACATCAAGCAAAGTTAATGAATTTTATTAAAAAAAACTTACAGTATGTTATGAATTCTATTCCTATAATATTTCATAAATGTACAGTACTATCAATTGTACACAATCCAGAAACGGTGTAAAGGTATTCCGAGTGACAGTTATAATGTGCTCACGTGCTATCACTCAAAGATATTAACTGTTCTGATATCCATAATATTTTCTTCAAGGAAAATCCCTTGAACACCGAATGTCACTAAAATCCTTGAATGTTCTACTACCACTACTACTACTACTGCTGCTGCTGCTAATAATAATAATAATAATAATAATAATAATAATAATAATAATATTATTATTATTATTATTATTATTGTTGTTGTTGTTGTTGTTCTTCTTCTTCTTCTTCTTCTTCTTCTTCTTCTTCTTCTTCTTCTTCTTCTTCTTCTTCTTCTTCTTCTTCTTCTTCTTCTTCTTCTTCTTCTTCTTGATGATTTGACTTTTGTGGGATTCAGTTGTAAATCTTTATATGTACCAATACAAGGTAAAACCCAAGAAGCATTAAATTCTTCAAATTATAACTGTTCTGATATCCATAATATTTTCTTCAAGGAAAATCCCTTGAAAACCGAATGTCACTGAAGTCCTTGAATGTTTTACTACTATTACTACTACAACTGCTGCTGCTGCTGTTGCTACTACTACTACTACTACTACTATTACTACTACTACTACTACTACTATTGTTCTTCTTCTTCTTCCTCTTCTTCTTCTTTGATTATTTGATTTTTGTGGGATTCAGTTGCAAATCTTTAAAACTTAATTACAGGAATAAAGTGTCTTTTTATAATAAAAATCGTTTAGCTGCCAATATTTTTTGAGTAAAAACAAATTAATCCTTTCAAATTAAATCTTAAACACCCTCTTCCCTTGAAAAAAAATCACTGGATTTTAACTGACAGTAAATTCTTATTCCGTGTTGGAGAACACACTACTTCATCGTTATTTTTCCATTATGATACAGAATTTATACAACTTTTTATTGAACTCATAAAACGTCCTCTCCCCTAAACACACAAAAAGAAAATGATTACACGATAAGATGGAGACTGAAATTTCGGCGGGGGTGGGTGGGACGTTGTCCAGTGTGGAGAATACGTCATTTCGTAACTGAGATAATTCGTACCCAGCATGTCTAACATACCATAATATTTTCGTTAACAACAGATTCACTTAAGTAGAAAAGAATTACTTATGTTACAAATTTTGCATTTTATAATTTTATAAATGAACAAGAAGTCAAATTAAAAAGTTGTTGAAATTAAGGTAAATAATACAGTCAGATAAATAGAGAAAGAGTCTAAAATGGATCTTAAAAAACAGGGCATGCACATAAGTGCAATAAACCACAATAATAAGTGTGTAAATAGTGTTTATGACATGTGCGAATAGAGAACAACCTTACATATTAGGTAGTATGAAAGCTACCCAAAAAATAATTCATTTATAAGTGGAAGGATTTATATAATACAAGAAAGGTTACTGTTTAATCTCTAACCTGGAGGAATATTTGGTTGTTGGAGTCACTTCCCATACTAAATTTCTTGTTCTTCAAAAAACTCACAAGTGAGATACTTAAATATTATTCTTTGTATTTTTTTGAAAATAGTCATCTGATTATTTTATCTGTGATTCATTGTCCCGAAGCTGGAAAAAAATACAGAAATATTTGGACACCCAACACAGGAGATGAGCAGAGTTGCGATATATGGATATTTAACTTTATTTGGCGTCATATAACCACAACAAGAGGCAACTATATACATACATATTCGTAAATAGTAAGCATATCCCAACCGTTCATTCCCATACCTTAAACCATGTAAAGGACATAACTCATGCATTACCGCTTGCACACATCAATATAATTGTCTTTCTTTCTAGATAATATTAAACAGTGTCTACTCTAGGAAACTTCATTTTTTTTTAATATGGAAGCCAAATATGACTTTAATGCATAAAATGTGTGCACATTATTTTCATCCTAAAACTTGGGAAAAATATCACATAGAAAAATACATCAGGGCATAAATGTCTCAGACATGTAGCATGTTGTTTCACCCAGTCATTATATCCTGACACAAGGCCAACCAGTTATAACAATAACCTCTTATTGCTGATAGCCTACAAAGCAACTGTTTGTACCATTTTTTATGTCTTTGGTACGACTCGGCCGGGGTTCGAACCACGACCTCCCGCATCTGAGGCGGACACTCTAACCACTAGACCACCGAAGCGGTTGCCTGTAGTGCTTAGGTGAAATTAATTTTCTTGAAAAATAAGATGTCCTGTTTTTTCATTAATAAAGACGAAAGTATAGACATTAGTCGATCGGAATCAAACTCGTTAAGATGGGAAGAGAATTTGCATACCATTTGCATAAACTGATTAAAAGAGGATGATGATACAAGAAAAAATCTTTTGTCGCCTAAATCACACAATAGTTGTTTAATTTTGTAATGTCCATATGCCGAAAGTGGCATACTATCACCTGACAAATATCTTTAATGACCAAAACAAAAAAGACTGTCTTTAATAAGTTAATGAAAAAAAAAGTTAAAGAGAGTGATTATCTATCAAGTTTATTGTTCTATCCGGGTCTTCAAACAGTGGTTATCTACATAATTCAGAACTTAGATCAATCTAAATGTTACTTTGGTTGGCTTTTCTTCTTACTGAACATGAATGACTTTGACTTTACAAATGCAATCACCGCTCGACTTGGTTACTTCATTATAAATCATTTTTTTTTCGCAAAAAAAGGTAGGGATTCCAACTGCAATACTCTGCATTCGACACACTGTTGCAGTAAATGAATTTGCTGCACTGGTGTTGCCCAAAACTTTAGAATGACCATGCAAGACTGACTCTTTGTTTTAGTAGCAAATGAATATAAATCCATACTCAGGGCAAGCTTTTCCGGAACAAAGACAAATGGATGGAAAACATCTTTCAAACATAAAAGCTTACATCGGCTTGGCCCAACACAATACAAGGCAAAGAAAGCAAATCAAGAAAGGTATGCTCCTGATGAATTAAACATACGGAACAGTTTTTGCGATCTCACGAAATGTGCATTATCAACACCTCTTTGGTCGGGGTCGTCTGGGTGATTGCCACCAACTTCTAAACAGTCGTGCGGCTGATGAGATTTAATTGTTGTTGTCTTGGGGTTAAACGCCTTTTCTCAGCGCAATATAACCATTGTTGCCAGTAGAGGAAGAGCCTAGTAAAAACCACTGACCCACGAGATTCTACTGTCAGCTTCTCATATACTCACGTTGGCGGAACCCGAGACTCTAGCCCATGTGGATAGAGGTGAAATGGCAGTGATCATAAAAAGGCGAGAAGTGCAAAATTAGTGCATGTGAAAATAGATTCACAAGCCAAATTTTTCTATGGCGGTCAAATTATTTGAATCTGCTTTTTAGACCTTCCGTTTTCCATAAAGTTGTGATCACTTTAAATCTATGTAGTCCATCGAATTTGACCACTACACGCTCCATCAAATTTTGACAACTAGTAATAAATTAAATCCAGAAACATTTGACAAAGGACGAACCTCTTGCTCACGAATATCAGCAATAGTCACTTGAGGGGGTGTAGATCACTCGGGATACCTTTGTTACATTTGTCAAGGATGAAGACATTGGTAAAAATCAGAGGTATTTTTTACTCTGGAAGATGACTTTGTATTACTGCTTTCTTCTGCCTCTATAATTTTGTACCGCCCTTATTCTTGTCAGAGTTAACCATATAATACAAGGCATATTTGTAGCTGTGATTAAAGGTTATTTGTTAAGTTAGTTTACATTTACAAGAATGAGACTTGTACTTGTCGTAAAGAAGCAATCTTTATCAAAATAGAATATAGCTCTAATAAAGAATATTAATCTCCATACTTGTAATGGAAATTACTTCGAATATAATTTAATGAGAATTTAATCCAATGAAAAATTGGTTTTAATACAATTTAGAGGAAATTCCAATGTTATTGTTTTTATTTAACATTTCTTTCATAGCACATCCACTAGAACATTTACTAACCTTCTTAATACAGTCCTCTCATCGACATAGCGATATCTATTACATTTACCAGTTAAGAGCTACTCTTTGCACTCTCCAGACATAAATAGCTTTTCCTGGTTTCGGAGTTGTAACAAAATAAACACCGGTGTCTTTTTTGTAAGCTTTTGGAACCAACTGCTAATGAATTCACACCACTTTCTTGATCTAAATTTGATCGGCTTACGATCTTAAAAAAATCTTTTATTGCACTTAACATGCATTTCTTTTATATTTCAATTTTCAACGGTTTAGCCCAAAGACACGTGGAAAATATATCGATAACAAAAATTAAAAAAGTATTCCATCATGTTCCTTTACTAGATTTGCAATTAACGTGAAATCTGCATTAAAGTTACATTATTAGCAGTTGTAAACGTGTCGCACTTTTCTCTGCATAGAATACGCATCTTGTTTCCTGAACCTTTTGACGTAATGTGAACCGTTCGGGATATATTCCACTTAAAATTGTATACAGTTTTGTGGACCAGCAAATGCAGCAGGATATGATCAAAGTGGTTGTTTTATTGAATTTATTCTTTCTATTTCTTCATTTTCTTCTGACTATACTAATGAAATAATAAATATTACAGGCAAGTACATAGGTTTATATACTCCTCTAAAGATAATAAAATATACTTATTTACAATAAAAGTATATTATTTCATAAGGGTACGAGTTTCAATACATACAAAATGGTGCATTCGTTCCATAAATATTCTTTGTGATTGATGTCATTATAATTTGCTTGAATCACTCGACGCTTCGCGTACAGTAATGATCCGCGTTCTCTGATGCCGACAACTCGGCGTTATCAGGCAATCAGGATAGCGATACGGTATAATAATACACACTTGTCTTCACGGAATAAAAAGATCCAAAGCTACGTAAAAATCTGCAAAATAAAAGTTGCACTATCAGAGTGTTTACCTAAGAAGAGATTCCTTTTCAGTAAGGAGCAATCATAAGTTTAAATTGTAACAACTTTACCTATGTAGATGGCAAGTTGGTAAATGGCCAAGAACACCAGTGCTAATTTTTATTACTTTTTTAATTTTTTTTTTTTACAAAAAACAACTGAAACTAGTCATACAAAGAAATATTAAGCAAACGTTTCTAAATATTTAGGCTATGAAAGACACCAATTGTACTCTTTAGTACAGGTTTCCAGGAGATTAAACCATAATTGATCAGGATAATGTAACCGATAGACTTAAATTTTCGTTTCGTTAAGGTAATTTTCGTTCAGTTAAGGTTTATGTTCTGATTTTAAATGTTTGGCGGGCTTAGTAGTTCCATCTAGCATATTAGTTTTTGGATCACGTGATTCCGACTTACGTGTGTCTGTGTGTCTGGTTGCTATGGTGGTGTGTTATGAAGCGGTATTGTGTGAAGATATCCCCTTGCAAGAGAATCAGTATAACCACCCCGCCAGAGCAAACATATTTGGTCGGACCAGATAGAGCCAGGTCTAGGAATCGGAAAAGAATAGGGACAAGGTCTTTCGTCGACAAAAATACTGGCGCTACATGGCTCGTGCAAGAAGCGCAAAAGTCATGCGACAAAACACGTTTTGACTGAGGATCACTATTCTGTTTTCATTTCGTACTCTCTCTCTCTCTCTCTCTCTCTCTCTCTCTCTCTCTCTCTCTCTCTCTCTCTCTCTCTCTCTCTCTCTCTCTCTCTCTGTGCTGATCTCTATCTGATAACGACGCGACTCTACGATACAGTCTGCGACCAAGTCTTGTGTCTGCGATCAAGTTGGCGATCAGAGAAAAGCACAGTCGGCAACTCCGAGACCAAATCAGCGACTCAGTCGGCGATTCTGCGACCACGTTAGAGACACGGTCGGCGACACGGCGATACAGTCGTCGACTGCGACCAAGTCAGCGACACAATCGACGACTGTGACCAAGTCTGCGACATAGCCACTCTGCGACGCAGACGATAACCTAGCGACTCAGTGGACGACACAGTCGGCGACCCAGTGTCCCAGAGACTCGAAAAAAACCCCTAGAATACGATGAATAGCTGGGGAAGAAATCTGTCATACTCAGTTCTCAGACCTATCCTGAAGAAACCTAGCTACGATGTCGTAACCTCAACTTGTTTTGTTGTGTCCACAAGGTAGGACTAAGGTACTATATAACATTAGTCCGAAAATACATACCCATTGGTTTGTACCCCCTACCGATTTCAATAACAGAAACATTGAAATTGATAAAAAGTACAAGGAACTTAGTCAATTCATTCATTGGTTTATATTTTCTAACCTGAAAGTGAGAAGAATTGCCATAACACTGTCACCGCCTGCGCGTTTCATGCTTAACGGAAGTTTTCAATGTAATAAACTGACATATTTGAGAACCATTTCCAGTTTCTGGACCAGTCCATTTTCAGCAAAGGGGCGCATGCGCGACTAAATATGTACATACATATGAGGTCTGCTTCCGATATTTACAGTGTCAAATCAAGCAAAGAAAAATAATGACAAAAAAAAAATTGCCTTTCACGTGGATTTAACAAGCGGTTTTATTAATATGTTGACGTGTGCAACGGAATGTAATTCCAAAGTCAACGTTATTGCAATTACGGAATTATCTGGCAGTTACCGAATAGGATAAATTACGTCATTATGTTGTCGGATGGAAATAAACTACCCCGTAGTGTACGGAACATGGCACCGTGTTGTACGGAAAGTCCGTTAAGCATGAAAGGTGCAAGGGGATGCAAGTACTAGTGCCATTCTGGTGACAATCAGGTTAGAAATTATAAATCAATGATTCAATTGACTTAGTTCTGTGCACTTTTTATCACCTTAAACTTTTTAGTTATTGAAATCGGTAGGGGGGGTTTGTTTACAAACCAATGGGGATGTATTTATAAATTTACTGTAGATAGAACCTATGAGAGCGGGACTCGGGATACTTAACAGAAGGGGTGTTCCGCTACAATATTTTTCTTTTCAGTATTAAATAATTTAGAACGCTGAGTTGTATTATTGCGTATTTTTATAATCCAAAGTGATTTCAAAGGAATTTTGGTTTTGGAGGAAAAAACAATTGTGGTGTCATGTTTGTGGTCTCAGATTTTTCGTGACAAAATTGTCGAAATCCTCCAAAATTGCGTGACATCATATATAGATGGCCCCACATTAAATTTATTTATTTTG